CTGGGTCCACCCATGCTCACCACCTGACTTTGGTCCAGGGCAAGCAGTCCAGGGCTCCATCCCGCCTGAACTGGTTCCTCCCAGCCCCATCCAGAACCCGGGGTGCAGAGGAGTCCAGTACCTAGGTCAGCAGTGCCACCTATTGGTGACCATCAGAAGGTGCTGGCACCTCGTTCTCTGCTGGATATCAGGCAGCCACTCTGTGGCATTGAGGGCTGTCACTCGGGAGGGCTGTCACCCCGGGAGGCTGTCACTCAGGAGGGCTGTTACTCAGAAAGGCTGTCACCTAGGAGGCTATCACTCAGGAAGGCTGTCACCCAGCAGGGCTTTCACCCAGGGCTGTCATCCAGGGGAGTGCTACCCAGGGCTGTCACCCAGGAGGCCTGTCACCCAAGAAGGCTGTCTCCCAGGAGCGTTGTCACCCAGCAAGGGCTGTGACCCAGGAGGACTGTTAACCTGGAGATTTCAGAGTGGAGTCGGGTTTTACAGGTTGAAACCTGGAAAGAACTGTCGGGTTTCTGGGTGTAGCATCTGTTCCATGACATGATGTACAAGAAGGAAGAATGGAAGAGACTGTGATCTCAGCTGCTTAGAGAAAGGGCTGCGGTTGCAACGGTCAAAAATGGCAGCCCAGTGAATCCCGTTGTCCATGGTGTGAATTCTTAGAGACAGGTGCGTCCCTGCCAGCCAGCGATATGAGAAACGATGTTCAAGATTGTTTTGATTCAAGTGTTTTGATTCAAGACAGGGATGGGTGGGGCAGGGGGTGGATTTCTGCCCAAAGCACTTCCTATGTGGAACCAGCAGGGCAAATGGCTGTGGACCAGCATGCAGCCAGCCAAAGGGAAACTGGTGTGCAGAGAAGTGCTCCTGAGAGTCAAGTGCATAAAATGCAAATCAAACGTGGGAAGTGCCAAGAAACGTTATATCAGGACATCACTCCAAATTTGGAAAGAATGGGCAGTGGGGAGATGACCTTTTGTTGAGCCACATTACCCCAGCCAGGACAGGAGGCCTTGGGGAACCCCTCTTCTTTTTGTCACAAGAAAAAAGTGTATGTTCATAGTAGGTGAAAATTATGGTGATATTGAACAACCATCGTTAAAATGGTATCACCTGTATCTATTGATGACATTTCATAGTCTTCACGTAAGCCATTCTAAGTGGCTGCAAACATTCATTTCACAGGGCCAACCATGACATTCTTAAGTTTCCCCTATTGCTGAGTATTCAGAGACTTTCCAGCTTTGGGTTTAAAAGTGATACTCGCCAGGCGCAGTGGCTCACGCCTGTAATCCCAGCACTTTGGGAGGCCGAGGCAGGTGGGTCACTTGAGGTCAGGAGTTCCAGACCAGCCTGACCAACACGGTGAAACCCCATCTCTACTAAAAATACAAAAATTAGCTGGGCGTTGTGGTGGGCACCTGTAATCCCAGCTACTCGGGAGGCTGAGGCAGGAGAATCACTTGAACTTGGAAGGCATACGTTGCAGTGAGCTGAGGTCACACTCCAGCCTTTACAACAAGAGTGAAACTGTCTCACAAAAAAATAAATCAATCAAAATAAAAGTGATACTTAAGTGTATGTGTCAAATTTTGCCCACTTTTTGGATTATTTCTTCTGGATGGATTCCTAGAAGTGAAATTCCTGAGTAAACGGAAGGCAGGACCTTTGTTCCTTGATCAGTGACTTCACACTGTTGGGCCAGAGCCAGTCTGGCTTTTAGCTGAATTTGATTGGTTCCATGCAAGCCCATGCCGCTTTTTAATGCACATGAACCCTTTTTTTTTTTTTTTTTTTTTTTTTAAAGAGGTGGATTCTCACTCTGTTGCCCAGGCTGGAGTGTAGTGGCAGGATAACAGCTTGCTGCAGCCTGGTCCTCCTATGCTCAAGTGATCCTTTCCCCTCAGTCTTCAGAACAGCTGGGATTACAGGCATGCATCACAATGTCCCACTGATTTTTTTTTTTTTTTTTTTTTTTGGTAGAGACAGGGTCACGTTATGTTGCCCTCACTGATCTCAAACTCCTGACCTCAAGTGATCTCCAGCTTCATTCTCCTAAAGTGTTGGGAGTATAGGCTTGAGCCACAATGCCTGGCCTGTACCTAAATTTTTTTCCCCACACATCAGAATTTCCACAAAATCATGTGTTCTATGCCTACATTTTTAAAAGTAAGACTTGCCGGGCTCGGTGGCTCACGTCTGTAATCCCAGCACTTTGGGAGGCCGAGGAGGGTGGATCACGAGGTCAAGAGATCGAGACCATCCTGGCTAACATGGTGAAACCCCCATCTCTACTAAAAATACAAAAAAATTAGCCGGGCGTGGTGGCAGGCACCTGTAGTCCCAGCTACTTGGGAGGCTGAGGCAGGAGAATGGTGTGAACCCAGGAGGCAGAGCTTACAGTGAGCCGAGATTGCGCCACTGCACTCCAGAATGGGTGACAGAGCGAGACTCCATCTCAAAAAAAAAAAAAAAAAAAAAAGTCAGGCTTCTGGCCAGGTGTGGTGGCTCACACCTATAATTCCAGCACTTTGGGAGGCTGAGGTGGGTGGGTCACTTGAGTTCTGGTGTTTGAGACCAGCCTGGGCAACATGGCAAAACCCTCTATTCTCTAAAAAAAGATACAAAAATTAGCTGGGTGTGGTGGCATGTGCCTATAGTCCCACTACTCGGGAGGCTGAGGCATAAGAATCACTTGAACCTGGGAGGCAGAGGTTTCAGTGAACTGAGATTGTGCTACTGCACTCCAACCTGAGCAACACAGAGAGATCCTGTCTCAACAACAACAACAAAAAGAAAACAAGAAAAGAAAAATTTCCCACCAGAATGCAGATGTATTGCTTATGTTGGAAAAGCAGAGTAATCCACTGCATTACAAGAATGAAGGGAGAAACGTGATTTTTTTTTTTTTTTTTTTTTTTTTTAGACAGGGTCTCCTTCTGTCACCCAAGCTTGAGTGCAGTGGGGCGATCTCAGCTTGCTGCTACCTCCACCTCCTGGGCTCAAGATCCTCCCACCTCAGCCTCCTGAGTTGGCACTGCAGGCATACACCACACCACTATGCCTGGCTAATTTTTGTATTTTTTTGTAGAGACAGGGTCTCACCATGTTGCCCAGGCTGGTCTCTAACTCCTGGGCTCAAGCTATCTGCCTACCTTGGCTTCCCAAAGTGCTGGGATTACAGGTGTGAGCCACCACATCCAAATGATAAAGCACATTTATTAGTTTATAGTTTACACTTTAAAACAACGATGAGGCCGGGCGCGGTGGCTCAAGCCTGTAATCCCAGCACTTTGGGAGGCCGAGACGGGCAGATCACAAGGTCAGGAGATTGAGACCATCCTGGCTAACATGGTGAAACCCCGTATCTACTAAAAAATACAAAAAACTAGCTAGGTGAGGTGGTGGGCGCCTGTAGTCCCAGCTACATGAGAGGCTGAGGCAGGAGAATGGTGTAAACCTGGGAGGCGGAGCTTGCAGTGAGCTGAGATCTGGCCACTGCACTCCAGCCTGGGCGACAGAGCAAGACTCCTCTCAAAAAAAAAAACAAAAAACAAAAAACAAAACAAAAAAAAGGTGATAACAGCCCTTTCCCAAAACAAACTTCCTTCTCTCCTGGGGACTGGACTGCCTTTATAAGACTAACAAATTAGCCACAAGATTAGAAATTACGATTTAGGAGTTATGCAGCTGGAGGCTACAAGATTCTGCCCCTCCCCAAATTGCTCCTGGGAATTATGTCTCAAAACCTAAGATCAGTGCTTAAGAGGTTTGCACTTGATGGATCAACTGGCACCACCCAGATTGATAAACTGACGCATCTGATTTTGTGGCTGTTACCCAGGAACTGACTCAGCTCAAGAAGACAGCTTCGACTCCCTGTGATTTCATATCTGACCCAAGCAATCAGCACTCCCGATTCACTGGCCTCCCCCACCACCTACTAAATTATCCTTCCAAACTCTGATCCCCGAATGCTGATGGATCATGCAAATGGAGACTGATTGGAGTATAACTCTGGTCTCTCCTACAGCCAGCTCTGCATGAATTACTCTTTCTCTATTGCAATTCCCCTGTCTCAATAAATTGGCTCTGTCTAGACCGTGGACAAGGTGAACCTGTTTGGCAGTTACAAGGGCACCCCTGCTTTCCTGGGGTGTCCACTACAGAGTGCAGAATGCAGGTGTGTGGGCCTTTCTGGCAGCTGCCTGTGGTTTGGCCAAGCCCCGCCTCCCCCATGTCTCCTTGGGCTTCCATCCTGTCTCCACTTGTATTTAGAGGTGGTTGCTGCTCTGGGAACATTAGAATCTGGAAGAGAGATGCAGCCACATTAGTTTTTTTCAGGCATCTTTCTAAATGTTTGTATCCAAGTGAATCCCCCTTACTCACTGTGGCATTGCCTTTCTAAGTAGTTACCTCTGTGCCTGCTATAGAACTTCTCACAAAAGAGAGACAACAGCCCTAGGCACTACCGTGGGCATTAGGTCCTATGTTTGATGTGCTCTTGTGATTTTACTTTGTTAGAACCAAATATTTACATGATGGGTTTGGGAATCTGTCTTCTTTTAGCTCCCGATCCAATATGAAATTCAGGAAACCAGTATGTGACAAACTGCATCTGGCCACTAAGGGAGCCCCTGGGTGATCCCAACACATTCACACCAGTGTATGAAAAATTGCCTGCATTTCAGAGAAGATAAATGGACTTTCCCTCTTCAGACGCTTGAAGGGAGCGCTTTGAGCCGAGTGGTACATGACCTCCCTCCAGCCCCGGGGCCCTCGGTGGACCTGGGCTGCCTGGCAGGAACTGGAACCTCCCTAAATGTTCCCTCCTGCACCAGCACCACTGCAACATAGAGACCCAAGTGTGATTTATTTTGGCTTGGTGTGTATGCTTTTCATTGTGTAAAACTGCTATTCTTTTGACAATTCAGAAGACTGTTTTGTTTACTGTAACTTTGAAAACAAAAATTGTAACAAAAACATTCCCATGACTGTGCTGTGGTTGGAGACTTTATTACCAACATATTTACACCTTCCTTTCCTCTCTCATTTTCAGGAGCTGTTTCAGGACTCCTCCTCTTCCCCTAATAACTTGAGTCTTTCCTATGTCATAATAAAGCTACATTTTCTTCTGAAAACTGGCAGATTCTCCTTTCCTAACACAGACAGCCGAGGAGAGGGTGGCAGGAGGGAGAAGAGCAGCCAGGACACACCGGCCTGCATGGGGGCGTCGCTGGTTGGAGTCAGTGGCCAGAGCTGCAGCCTGCCTTTGTGCCCAAAGTCTTGTCTGGGTGTCAGGAAGGCCACGGACTCACATTTCACCCCTTTCCGTGACTGGCTCGCCGTTCAATGACCCTCGTTCCTTCTTTTTTGAGCAGGAAGGTGTCATCTAGGACTCTGTCTTTGGGTGTGCATGAAAGTCATCTGAGGCCCTTGACATGCAGGAATCCTTGCCAGCCTTGGATTGCAAGACCCAGGCTGTGGTACAGCTATGTGCATTTTGTAGGAAGTTCCCTGCTTGATTGGAGAGTCATAAATAGAAAGAAACACTATAATCAGTGGAAAGATGATGTGCACAGCTATTCAAGAGCACGGTTCTGTGACATTATCGCGAGGTAGGGGTGGACCTCTATGACGTCCTCTCCCAGCAGCCCTACATACTTCCTCAGTGGGTCAGGAGTCTCCTACTTGGCTTCATCTTCGATTCTGAAGCCTCTGAGTTCTGAATAGTTCTGCCCCCTCCTTTTTCAGATGCCTCTGTGGCAAACCTTTATTTGATTTTCTTTATATGAAGACACCAGGAACACCAGAGAATGTCCCAGGGTTTCAAACTTAGCCCTGTCTCTTCACATTAAATAGAACCATTGTTGTGTTCCCCTGGGGGAAGTTTCAATCTGCCTGGGTCCTCAGACCTTCCAACCAGCAAAACTCCATTTCTCCAGGACAGACATAGGAAAGCTCTGTGACTGAGACATTCCGTGCAATACTGAACATCATCCACTTCTACACTCTCACTTTCAGAACTACACCTTCTGGCTGTCGGAGAGTCAGCACCATATGCTGGTTTCCAGTGGAAAGCATAACATTTATCTTGTAAGACAAACCACCACTTCAGCGTAACTGAGCGATCCTAAGCCCAGTTGCTTCCAGGTGGCGGCTGACGTAGTGAGAACAGTTAGTTCCCTGATCAGGGGCCACGGCTGCATGTCCCTCAGTGTGAATAGGGTACCCTGGTCACAAGCAATGCCCTGTGGGCTGCTGTGATGGCAACAGGCAGGGCCAGTGAGTCTGTGTCCAAGTAGGGGCTCCCTGCAGTGAAGGCCGATCTCAGCCCTCTCCACAGTGTGGGCAGCCTGTCCATAGGTGGCCAACCGGTCCTCCTGGGAAACAGTGCCAGCCCAGGGATCGACACCAAGTCTCTCAGCAGATGGGGCACTCAGCAGTGGTATTGGCCTGGTCAGCCTGGTCAGGGCACAAGCAGGATGCTGAGCCTCTTGTGTCTCATTCCTGTCTGATGGCCACTTTGTCCATGGGTCCATCCAGCAGTCGTGGTGGCTGGGGAAAGGAGCTGACTCCATCCACCTGGCATGCCGTGTTCCCCACCTCAGGATCAAGAGCATCCTCTGCAGCAATTCTCTTTGGTGGGAACATGGGAATGTGGATGAAACTATCTTCACAGTGTGAGCTGCTGAGGCAATGACTGCAGGGCGCCTCTGCCCTCTGGGAAGCCGGGCTGGAAGGCGCTTGGCAGTGGTGCCTGCTGTGGCTGCGACAGGGGCTAGGCTGCAGGACAAGGCTTCCAGGAGGGGGGTGGTGCGGCAGGCAGGGCTGCGAAGTCTCTGGGTGCCATGTTGGCATAGCGGACTAGGGCACTCGGGGCGCTGGTGGGCCAGTCTCCGGGGTGCAGACTGCCTGCCCTGCAGCAATGAGGCCGGGAAGAGGCAGCAGTGTTCACAGCTGTTGACCCCCTTGAGCCAGCCCCCCACATCCTCATCACTGCACAGGCTCAGCGTCTCTGGCCTGGCTTACCCAGGTTCTCTGATGTGAATCCTTACAACATCAGGGCTTGCAGTGCCCTGGTCCCCTGCGTGGTCACCTGGAGGCCTGTGGTGCCCCTCTCCTCCTAGGACTCGGGTTGAAGCCAGGTCCCTCTGGACCTGGGACTTGGGCCCTTGAGGAGGGACTCTGACCCACAGGTGGGGTCAGGGGCCCCAGAGCGCGCTGCTGGCTGGCTGGGGCTACAGGAACCCCATGCTCAGCCTTCCCTCCTGAGGCCTTGATGGGACCAAGTCCCCCATTGAATGGGATTTCTCAAGGCCCACAAGCCAAAAATATAAAATAAAAATAAAATAGCAGTAAAAACCAAGGTCCAGCAGCCATCTGGGGCTGTAAGGCAGCTGGGCGGGTACTGCCTGGGCTCCTTCCATTCCAAGTTCTTCTTCTACCGAGGGGAGTCACAGGCAGGTGCCACCTTGCTGCTGGGGTGTCTCTTGACCTGCCTCTTCTCTGTTATAAGCCAGGGCAGGGCCTGGTGTCGGGGTCCCAGTGGGCTCGCTGGGTGGGGTCTGTCTTTTTGTTCCAGGGCTGTCCACAGAAGATGGAGAAGTGACAGAGTCCCAGGAGCTGTGTTCAAAATGGCAGCACAGGAAACATGGACCCCCGACATGCGGGTCTGTGTGGAGCTGTGGCATAGAGTTCCCAGACAAGTGTTAGTGTAATACAAAGCCGGACCTCACCGGGGGACAGGCTGCCCTCATCTTGAGCTTCTGGGCCCCTCAAAGAGTGGCTTGCTGCCTTGGGTTCTGGGAAATCCCCTTGTGCCACTGGGCCTCAGCCTCGGCTTTGGGGACAGTCTTATCCGGCCAGGCTGGGGGAGGACAGGGCTTTTGTTCCAGGGGGACTGATGGCATGAGCTCCTGGAGCTGAGCTGGTGGGGTGGGGAGGGCCAGTCTGTCCCCCTGACAGAGGGGCCCAATGCCAGGGGACACCCTCGAGGACCCTCACTCCATCTTGGTGGAAAAAAAGAAAATATCTTCACTGAGTGCGTTGGGTCCCTTCAGGGCGGGCCCCAGAGACCCAGGCCTCTGGAGTCCTCGGGGTCCCTGTGAGGCCCCCGGGCCTGACACTGAGGATGCCCTTGCACGCTGCTGATCCCAGGGCGAGGGCTGTGTGCAGCCTGGGGTGGGGGAGCTTTCAGAGAACTTCAGGTCACTCCCAGAATGGCCCCCTGGGTTCAGGTTGGCTCAGGGCTTCCTGCCTCACATGCTCACCTCAGGGCTGTTTGGCAGCCCTGACTCAGAACTCAGGTGGAAGAAACCTTCACTGTCACCCAGCACCTCGCATGGGGGCCTGTCTCCACAGCAGGTGAGAAGTGAATGGCCACAGCTTCCCCTCTGCCCTCCAGTCCATCCACCCCATGCCAGGGCTGGACCAATCCCACGCCCAGCTGAACTCTTGGTTCTGGCTCTGGGTCAGGGCTTCGCCCATCCCCTCTGCCCAAATCCTCTCTGGGTCAGGGACACTGATTCTCTTGTCCCCCTGGCTTGTTGTCTTGACACCCTTGGGGGGGGCACTCAGGAGTGAGGGGCCCTTGCTGCTCTCTGAGGTTGCTTGGAGGTGGGGGTAGGGGCTTCCACAGCTTGGTCTGACTGCCCCAGTGCCCTTCAGGGCCCTTTGAGGGGGTGAGGGGGACAATGTGGAAAGTCGGAGAGGGATTGGGGGATTCTGCCCACAGCCCCTGCCTGTCCACACAGCATGTCCAGCACACACACACATGTGCTCAGCGCCTACCCTGAGGACCGGCAGACCCATTTGACTTAGAATAGAGGAGGGAGAGGAGGAAGAAGAGGTACAGGAGGAAGGCCAGGTAGGAGGACTGGGGGGGCCAGGGCACTCCCCACCATTGACTGCTCCAGAGGGTGACTCAGGAGGGGACCTGGTGCTGGGGCTCACCTGGGGGTGGCAGGTCCCAGTGTTTCCTTGTGAGTTCCTTCATGGAGGTTTGAAGGTTCCTGAGGACCTCGTTGTCCTCCAGGGCCCAGCTCTGAGACAGTTGCTCCCGAAACTCCCAGATGGTGCTCCAGGAAAGCTTCATGAGGTACTCTAGGGACAGGGCAGGCATCAGGTCAGGAGGATTCCCTGTGAGGGATCTGTGCCTGCACCCCATTTCCACCAGGCCCACCTCCCACTGGGTGGTGCCTGGTCCTTCTTGGCCACCCCAGGGTCCGGCTGTGCACAGGAGGCCACAGCTGGGCAAGGCTGGGCAGGGAAGTGCTCACCACACTCCTGACTTTCATCTGGGTCATGTCAGGGGTGGACTCAGTGTCATCATGCCTTGCCCAGCCCACCAGGCCAGACCCCCCTATCAGGGCAGAGCAGAGAGTCATGGGGACAGTGTGAGAACGCTTCCCTCAGGCTAGCTGGAATCTGTCCTGCGTGTTCCCCTAAGCACCCTCAGGCACACGGGACTTACTCCTGTGTATTTTGAATGATGCATGCGCCATGGCCGTCAGTACCCGCTCGCCCTCCAAGATAAACATATCCCACAGTCTCATGGTGAACCCAAAGGATTTCTGTGGGGACAGCAGGTGTGGGAGGACCTGGCCTTTCCAAGCTGGAGCTGGTGGCCTGAGCAGGGCCCACTGGGGTTTCAGTCCCCTGGAGTGCGGGGGAACCCCTCTCCATGGGATGAGATCCCCCATAAAACTGAGTCAGACAAGGTTCTGTAGATCCTCATGGGGGGCTCATCTCAGCAGCGCTGTGGCTTCTGGAAGGAGGGACTTCCTGAGGATTTGGGGTTTCCTGGGGTCCTCTCAAGTCGAGTCCTGCCCCAGTCTTCCCACGAGACTGGGCCTGAGCCCTGGCCTCTGCCGTGGGATGCCCCTCTTGGGCAGGGCTTGGCTTGTGAGCCCTGCAGGAACCTGCCTGTGCCTTCTGCAAGCTGGGGGTGAACCAGCTCCTGGAGGAGCTGGACCCCTGGGCTGAGGGAGCTGGGCACTGCATCCCTGGGCTGGGGTCTCCCTGTGCCTCCTTACCCCACCAATGAAACACCGGAGGAGCCTCATCAGCATGGAACCCTCAGTACACAGCCCTTCCTTGCCCTAAAGGGAGGAGCAGAGGTGCTCAGGGCCCCCTGGGCTACCCTGAAGTCCTCCCACTTTCAGTTCCCTCTGCAGACTCTTCTCCGTGGAGCAGAACCCCGGGCAGTGGCCAGGGATCCCCCAACCCCTGCCCCATACCCAGAAGCCCAATGGACACACTTCCCTCAGCCCTGCTCAGCCAGAGCTTGGCCCTGGTCCCAGCGCCTCTGCCTCCCCCAGGGCAGGAAAAGGAAACCCAACTCCGAACCCACGGAGAATCCCCATCCCAGGTCAGGCTGTGGCTGGGACTTGGCCTCTTGTCAGCTCCATGAGGGACTCGAGCCGCCCCTGGCTCTTGGGACCCAGGGCCTCTGGGGAGGAGCAGAGGGTGTCATCCACTCACCAGGTGTCTCATGATCTTTGGGAAGAACTTGTGCAACACCTGCTCCTGGCATGATAGAAGCCTCCAGAGCCAGGCAGTATTCCGACTGTAGAATACTGAGAAGCCCCCAACCCACCACCTCATCAGAGTCCACTCCCAAGAGCTGGGTAGTGGCAGAGGACCCTGGGCCCTGAGGCCTCCCTCCCTCCTATCTGGTGACCCCATCACACAGTCTCAGCCCTGGGGAGGAGGGCCCTAGCTGGAGGTGGTGCCCAGTGGCATCCTGGGCCGAGGTGCCAGGAGAGCAGGCCTGCCTTTGATGCTATGAGGCAGGGCAGAGGCAGACAGGTGCCAGCGGTGAAAATGGGGTGGGTGCTGAGGGCTGTGTGGCCATCTACTGGATGTGATGTCAGGCTGGGGGACACGGGATGCATGGGGGACATTGCCATCTGGGCTTCATCAGCCCATTTGTGGGCAGGGAAGGTGTCTGGGAGTGCAGCCAGCTGGGGAGGCAGGAGGACACTCAGGGAGGTGACCAGTGCCTGCACAAAATTGGGTCTGGCTTCGGGGAACAAAAGGCAGCCAGAGGGAAGTATCAATGCCCTCTGCTGTTGGGGGTGAAAGGCATCTGACTTGAGGTAAGAGGGTCCCTGTCCTGAACCAGGCTGCTGTGGGACCCTCAGCAGGGACATCCCAGAGACTCCAAACAAGCTGGGATGCAAGTAAGATGCCTTGCCTGGAAATCGGGATCATTAGCCAGGGTGGCCGTCCCCTGGCATGGCTGTGTAAGGCCCCGAAGGTAACTGTCCACCTACCCTGCAGGAAGTGCCTCTCACCAGCAAGCAGCTGGGCCAGCACCAAGAAAGCATCTTCCTCCAGCAGATACAGGAGGAGGGTGGCGGTGACGTGGCTCAGGTGCCTGTGGTAGCCCACCTCCTGCAAGAGCCAGAGTCACCGTGGAAGGGTGTCTCCTGGGAGGGCTGAGATCACCTGGGAGGACTCATGTCACCAGAAATGGCAGAGGTCCTCAGGGACACCTGCCACAGGCCCCCAGGATTTGGGGTGCAGCCTCTGCATTCCTCCCCTGGCACTGGGCATGAGGACTCAACAGGTCATGCACGACTCAGTTGACAAGGAGCCTGGGGGTACTCCTGCAGTGAGCGTCCAAGCTCACATGGCCTGAAAGAGCACAGGCAAGGATTGTTCATGCCCCCTCCCCTGAGCCAGGCTGGGGAGGCCACTGTGCCAGGCCCAGAGCAGCACCTGTGAACTCACCTGCAACGAGGGCAGGCAGCGGGGCACTGACCACCACACAAAAGGTCCTGCAACAGCCCAAGGGCTGCCTGCCAGGCACAGGAGGGCAGCTGGGTCCAGACTCCATGTGGGCAGCCCATGGAGTTGGCTCAGCCACTCTCCCTGCCTAGAATGGTCTGGAAAGTGGGGGTGGAACAGGAGCAGTCAGCTGGATGACACCCTCCTTGTCTGCTGCACTCCTTTGGAGTTCAGAGAAAGGGGAAATTGGATCTCTGTCTGGTTTCTGGTGAAGAAGAGGTTTCCTCAGGATGCAAACTCATTTCATGACAAGAGCCTGGTCCATCAGGCACCTCAGCCACTTGTCAAACCTGTCTCCTGTGAGGACCATCTGCATGCGACCCTGCCAAGCTCCTGGGCTTCGGGGCAACACCAGGAGGGGAAGGTCATTTCTTCATCTGAGACGTGGGGATCGGGTCAAGATGACACCAAGAGTCTGGGCTTCCACCCTTTTCCATCTCAGTTTGACCCCTTGTGCTGCCCCCTTGCTTAGGTGTCCACGCCAGCAGTGAGCTTGAGTCCTGCCTACTACGAGCTGGTGGGTCACGAACACTGAATTTTCAAGAAGTGCCGACACCCCCGAGAGACACCCATGCCTGTGAATATGGGCACAGGGCCCAGGAATATCGCTGCCCGGGAATACTCACAGGGTTATATGCAGAATAGGCCACGAGGATGTCACATAATTCCTGCTGCCTAGAAAAGAGGGAAAAGAGGGTTTTGTTTTGTGCAGATGCTGTCAGTTTCATTTTGTCTACAAACCCTGACAACAAACACAATTCTGGGTTCAGATGATTCCCCCAGATAAGCAGTGAGCTCTTCAGGACACCTGAGTTTTTAGAAGCTTTTTCAGTAAAATCCACATTCTTTGCAATGCAAATATCACAGGTGTACATTTGGATCAGTGATTATTTTCACTCTGGTTGATTTTTTCCTCCCCCTTTTCTTGGTTTGCACACACGGAAGTCCAGTCTTTGGGACGTGCAGTTCCACGGTTCTGAACCAATGTGCAGACCCTTCCGTCCAGCACTGCAGCCCCTCCCAGAGCGGCTCCTTCATCCTCCAAGTCCCCAGCGTGTCCCCTTTGCAGCTGACCTCTCCTGGCTCCATCAGCGCCTGACTATCCTGACCAATTATTCTCTGTCTCTATGCTTTGCCCTTTCCCAGAATGGCCGACGAATTGGAATCCTGTGGTGGTAGCCTGTTGGGTCTGGCTTCTTTCCCTCAGCAACACACATCTAAGACCACCCATGTTCCTGCGGGCATCAGGGGTTCATTCCTTTTCCTCACTGAGTCATCTTTGTCTGAAGAGTGGAACCCCCTTTCTCCCCAGTACCCCTGTTGATGATCATCTCAGTGGCCTCCGGGTGTGAGTGACAATCAATCAAGCAGTGAATGTGGCATGTGGGTTTTATTTGCACGTCAGTTTTCAAACCATTGTGGTCAATATCTGTGACACTTTGGGGATGTGTGGTACAAGGCCACCGAGCTTTGTGAGCCACAGCCCATCTGACTTCCAAAGTGCCCTGTCGTGTGCCCACCAGTCATGGATGAGCATTTCCAGGGCCCCGCATCCTCCCTGGTATTTTGGGCTGTCAGTGTTGCCCGGGAAGGCTCCCGAGCCCCGCCATCCTGCCGCCTTCCCATGGGTCTCTACCCTGGCTCATTGTGGGGCATGGAGAACACTTTTCACCATCTGCATGATTTTTTTTTTTTTTTTTTTTTTTTGCTGCCTCCCATCTCCTTGGGAGCCATCTGGGTTCTGGCCCCACATGTCCCAGCCCGGCCCAGGGCTTAGAGCCCGGGAGGTGCTCAGTCCATAATGCTGGCTGCTGCCTGGGCCAGGAGAGCCCTTGGCAGCTCTGTCACTTTTCCTGGGTGACCGTGGCCTCTGCCCTGGGGAAGCCCTCATCCCTCTGGATCGCCCCCATCTTCCCTGGTACCCCTGCAGCCCCCATAGGCCTTACCTGACTCCAAATCATTCTCTAAACATCACGTGGTTCTGCAGGGTGCGGCTGACATCTACCTTGATGTGGTAGGTGATCCTGGAGGACCTCTTTCCTTTCTCCTTCATGACCCTTAGGACAGGGCTGAGAGGAGGAAGCAGCCTCAGAACAGACAAAAGACTCCCTGCCCCAAACGGCAGTCATCCCACAGTCAGCACTTCTGGAAGGAAGGCAAGGTTTCCTTCTGCAGAAAGCGACTTTTTGCCTTGTTTCTGAAGCCCGGGAGGGTCAGCAGAGCCCAGTGCACCTGCGGTGCCTGAGTTACCATATGTGCCCAGCATGTGAGTCTGACCACTGCCCCCACCCCCAACCTGGGCTTGACGTTCCCTCCAGCTGGAGTCCTGGGCTTCTGACATAGCCAGGCCTGTTTGTCCTGCCCTGGCTGAGTATGGGAGGGCTGTACCTTGTCTTCCCCTGGGTTCTCAGCCTTCGCTTTGTCAATGTCTAGCAGGAGTGACCACGCCCAGCCCCGCACCACCAGGGGAATGCCTTTGTACACAATGCCTTTGTACACAGCTAAAGACAAAAGAACACTCCAGTGAGACAGGACACGGGGCGACTCAGGGAGGAAAGCTGGCGAACAGGCCTGCTGTCCTATGGTGAGGATGGGATGCCACCCACCCACTGATGCAGAGGCAGACGGTGCCAGGTCACAGCCATGGGTGCCTGTCTCCCGGCTCTACAGAGAGCTGTCACGGGGGCCACTCCCTCCCCATGTTACCTTCTTGCTGCTCCCATATTTTGTCCAGTCTCCAAGCATCTTCAGCCACTTGTCAGTGCATTTTATTTCCTGCCATCTTTGCTGTCAAAGGAGCCATGATGGAGTTAGTGGAGCTGCCAGGCCTCTGACAGTGGCCCATGGATGCTGGGTCCAGGGCTTTGGGGCCCTGAAGGGACCCAACCTGAAGGAGCCAGGAAAGGGAAGACCCCAGGGGCTGAGATCCTCTGAACTAACTGGAGCTGGGGATCTGGACTGGTGATACCAGGACACGCCATCCTCAGGGCACAGATGCCCTGAGTGTTAGTTGGGTTCCAGCCTTCAACTGGGGACTTGGTACAAACAGGCAGTGGACTCTGAGCCAGGACTGCAGTTCTTGGTTTGGGTTTTGGTCAAAGCCTTATGGGAACAGAGTCCAGCCAGAAAGGCCGCCCTCCCAGTGACAGCCATGGCCCACTCACCACTGCCCGGGTCCACCAGCCACCACCTCTGCGTCACCGACCACCCCTGATTCCCTATCCTTGGAGCGGCCTCCCACACAGCAGGCACAGGCTCTTACCTTCACCTCCAGGGCACTGACGGGGGCAGCTCCATCTCACTGTAGGGCAACCCAGGCAGAGATGAGGACCTGTCCAGGGCAAGAGCCATCCCCCTCCCTGAGAGGACCCCAGGGAAGGACCAGCCCAATCCTATCCACCCTAAGTCTCAGCCCGGGACAAGGCACAGACAAGAAAAGCAAGGGCCTCCCTGTGGAGCTGACACCTGCGAGGCACCAGGACCCTGGAGAAGAGGGAGCTCTAGGCTGGCTTGGAGGGAGCCACTTGGGACCTGGGTGCCTCAGGCTGCACAATGGGGCTGCCTCTCCTGGGCTGGAGGCGGCACCCTCTGTGGGAGCTGAGAAAGTCCAGTCCTGAGATGGGATGGGTGCTGCCCGGGGGGTGGCTGAGCCCTGACTGACAGCAGTGCCTCGAGAGTGACCACATCACCCACCAGAGTCTGGAGAGCCTGGCCTGAGAGCTGCCCAGTGCCCTGAGGATGCACCTGGAGCCCATCCCAGCTGACGCTCCCCATGGGCCTTGCAGGGTGTGACCTCCCAGTGTGCACCCGCCTCTGCCTGCGCCCTGGCCGCTGACCCTGCCTGTTCCCTTCTTCCCTCCTCCTGCCTGACCCAGAGACTGTGACCCTCCCTCTGGCCACCCTGGCCCTTCTTTGACCCTTTTCCTGTCAGAGCCGAACGAGACCTCCCTCCCTGATCCATCCACACCTCTGCCTTGGCCACTCTCTCACTGGGGTGCCCAGTGCTGCTGGGGAGAAGCCTTGGGTGACAAGGGTGACCAAAGGCCCTGCAGGCAGTGGGGATGGCCCTACCACCCCCGCCTCAAGCCTCAACCAGTTCTCAGGGCAGTCGGCCTTCAGCCCTCAGCCTCCTCCCAGCCACTGCAAAAACCAGGACATGAAGTGCCTGACTGTCCTCCCCCTACTGTCCTGCCTGCCCCTACTCCACCTCCCCCATTTCCCCTCTGCAGTGCTGACTGAGCCGGTGGGAAGCAGAGTCTCTGGAGGGCCACACAGAGCCTTGGGGACTGACCAAGTGCCCCCACTGAGGGGTCCCAGGTGGACCACACTTCCCTGCCCACCCCACCTGCCATGGGATTCTTTGGGGGATGCAGGTATGCAAAATAATGTTGGGGGTGCAGGGTGAGCATTTCAATGTATATTATCACGTATTATCTTACTGTGTAAATGCTTCTAAGAATAGTTAAGTAACTTAAGGTTTGCATGCTACTCAAAATATAGCTTTAAATGCCAATAAAAAATGGATGCAAATGAAAAGTCTCTCTTGCTGTGGTCCAGGGAATCTTTCTTTCAGAGAGACTTGCAGCTTTGAGCTGGAGCTGCCCTCTCCTTCCTGTCCACTGCACACCCCCACAACACACACACGTACACACACATATGCACACACACATATGCATGCACACATCTGTACATACACACACACTGTGCGTCATGCCCTCACTAAGGAGGCACGGAAGGGAATGTGTGTCTGTAAGGAAATGAAGACGGCTCAAGCCCCTGGTTCCCTGGGGATTTGCACAGACGCCCTCCCTGCAGACCATTCTTTGTTCTCGTTCTCTCTCTTAGTGAAAGAGAGAAGCAGAGCCTCAGCAGGTACCTGGCTGCTTAGTGCTCAACCCAAGGTCACAAGCTTCCTCAGGAGCCTGGTGAGATGGCGGCACCACAGAGCCTCCCAAACCGAGGGGGCAGCGTTCAGTGGAGCCTTGAGCTGAGGAAGGTGATAGACGGGACGACTTGGTTCATTAGACACAACCACAATGCAGTGAGGAAGGGCAGCCGCCAAAGGTTTTATTCTCCAGGAGGAGGGGCTCTCGGGGGCTGTGAGCAGGAGGCACGAGGACTTTATTGCACATGTGGTTAGGTGATGACGACCTACAGCTGCACTGGAAACTGGGACCCAGAGTGCCACGACCTCCTGCTCTGTCTCTCTCTTCCTCTCTGCCTCCTCTGTCTTTCTCTTCATCTCTCTTTTTTTCCTCTCTCTCTCCATCTCTTTCCCTCCTCCTCTTCCTCCTTGCCCCTGTTCCGGCACCTAGGACTCTCTCTTGGGTGTGTTCGCACACAATGCCAAGGCTGCCATCTGTCAGGGCACCCTCACAGGGCGCCTCCACCTTCCATCACCCACAGGGTTGAGGGTCCCAGGTATGACCGCGCTCTCCTGGGTGGGCGTGCTGTGCTCGGGGAAGCAGAAGCTGCAGGTCTCCCCTGGCTTAGGTGATGTGCCCACAAGGCTGCTGGCTTTCGTCTCGTGATCTGCAGAGGTTAGAGTGGAGGGTGTGGGCCAGGCCTGGCCCTGCACTGGGGTAGGGGTGACGGTGTGGGCAGCCATACTCTCCCCTGACCCAGGAACTAAGGGCAATCACCAGGCTAGGATCACCAGGGGGACCCAGGCGGGTGTCAGTGTCCCTCACTTGCTTACCAGAACATGTGCTGGGGCAGGGGTGGGCAGGCAAATCTTGGCTCTCACTTCTGCCCAGCCCCAAGCCTGCCATGCCCACCAAAGAGACACCTCCTCCAGGGCTTAGCCCTGATGGCCCTGCATCCTGAGAACCCCTAGTTCAGACAAGCCCAAAGGCCGGCACCCCACACCCACCCTTCCCGGGTGCCACTCTCCTGGGTATCTGCCTGCCAGGATGTCTTAAACTGATTTTATCAAGCTGCAGCGAATAACAGGGATGAGCCCCGGGCCTCTCCACTTAGAAGCAGGGGCAGTGACAGGACGGAGGGATGGCCCGAGGCTTGTCACCCAAGCAACAAGAAGGGTGAGGACCCCAGTTTCATGCACTCACCTTGGGAAGACTTGGCCAGACTTTGACAGGGCCTTGAGCAGGGCTGGCAGAAGCAGGGACCCCCGCTCTTCTTGAGGAAGCAGGCCACCACCATCAGGAAGCAGCAGAGGACGGCACACAGGCAGAGCCCCAGCGTGCTGTAGACCAGGGCCAGCTGATCCGCACTCAGATTCAGCCCCAGGAGAGCTGCAAGACAACATAAGACCCCTCTCTGCAGTGCCTTCTCCTCTTCCCCTCATTAGGCTCAAGCAATCCACATGGCCCCAACCCACCCTGCTGCGGGCCAGTCTGGCTCCTGGAGAGGCTGGGCTCCTTTCCTGACCTTGAGGCTGGCTGGGATGCTCTCTGGGTCCTAGAGGAAGTTGATCCACTCCCCCATCCTGGTGGCAACTTCCCAAGGCCTCGAAGCTGGACAACGTGAGCGGGTCCAGTATTAATAGGTCCAGGATTAATCTGTTACAAATCTGATGAATCTCTCACTGGCCCTGGGTTTTGAACTCACATTGCAAGCAGAAGGCTCACATTGCTGTTGCCAGAGAGTGGGCTCATTCCACAATGGGGGTCACCCACGCTTGCAGCAGATGCTTAAGATCTGAGCACTGGAGATACAGGTCCTAGAAAGACAGAGAGACTTCCTGCATGGAGCTTACTGTCTGGGGGAGCCGACCACCTGACCATTCCATGGGGAAATAGACAGTCACAGTGCGACAACAGCCTGCAGGAGAGGTGCATAGAACCCTGGCAGCTCATCCTGGGGAAGGTGCTCTAGTCTGGGAAAAGGCTTCTCAGAGAAAGGGGTCTGTTTAATTTTTACTTTTTCATCATAGGAAGAGCACGCAGTTTAAGTGTTCAGCTTGATGAACTTTTACCCATGGGTGCACTCAGGCTCAGCCCCCAGAGCAAACTGGACAAGACCAAGTTCATGCCCAGCCCCTAGAGGGCTCTTTTCTCCCCTCCCATCCAGTATTTCCCCCCAGAAGTAACCACTCTTCTCAGCCCTCTTGCTGTAGATTAATTCTGCTTCTTTTTGCCTTCTATAGACGCTTGCAGAAGGTACTCTTTTGAGTCTGGCTTCTTCACTCAACAATGACATCTGTGAGATCCTCTTACATTGTTGCACGTGGTCGGAGGTCATTCTTTTTCATTGCTGTATAGTATTTCATTGCATGAATACACTGTTATTTGTTGATGTGTTCTGTTTATGGATATTCAGGTTGTGCTAGACAGTGATAGTTTTGACTGAGTAGAAGTTACCTTGCTATGCAGACGTAGAGAGGATAGGGAGGAACATTTGAGAAGGCAGGAACAACATTCACAAAGGCCTTTGGCAGGAGGGAGCCTGCCTGGAGCCCTGAAGGCTGATGTGGCTTCCTGGTACCCCGCTTCTAGGTCACTGTATTCTGAGCACCTGCTGCCCTGGCCTGGTGTGTGGCTCTCCACACCCATTCCCACCTCCTCCTCCTGTGCCTTCCTGACCTGCAGGGGCTGGGAAGTTGAAGGGGAGTGATGTAGCCACAGAAGAAACATGTGGAACCACTGGCAGCTGGGGGCGGTGAGAAATGGAATCCCCCTAGGCCCTTTGTAGGAAGTAGGGCCCTGTCAACACCTTGATTACAGATTTCTCACCTCTAGAACTGTGAGAAAAATAATTTCTATTGTTTTAAGCCACCAAGTCTTTGGTCATTTGTCACAGATCCACAGAAAACTCATATGTGTCTCACATGTTAGTAAGCAGCATGGTATTCTGGATCTACTGAAACGGCCTTGCAGTGAGTTCAGAGAAGAATTACTAAAGGCAATTGGTGAAATCCTTTTGCCATCAAGGATTTGGCATCAGAGTTTCCAAGAATTATGTGTGCAAGTTGACATGCTGGCACTTTAGCTAATCTGGGTGTCAAAACAGAATGCCATAGACTAGGTAGCATAGAAAATTGATTTCTCACAGTTCTGGAGATGGTAAAATCCAAGGTCAGATGTTCAGCAGATTCTGTGTCTGCAGAGGGCTGGCTTCCTGGTTCATAGATAGCCATCTTTTTCCTGTGTCCTTACATGACAGAAGGGATGAGGGAGCTCTCTGCAGTCCCTTTGATAGGGGCACCAATTCCATTCACGAGGTCCCTGCCTTCATGAACTTATTCACCTGCCAAGGCCCCACCTCCAAATACCATCACTTAGAATTAGACTTCAACACACGAATTTGAGGACAGTAACATTTGGTTTATAGCATCATGACACTCCAAGCCATATGCACTCACAGGAAATCTATAATCTTCTATTTAGTATTTGCTGGTCATCTCTGAATTTAGGGACTTTTTTTTCTTTAAGAAAAATGGCCTTTTACTTGATCCATGGTTTATTCACAGAAAAGCACTGTGAGTTCACACACTTGCTAAAAAGATACAGAAATGAGAGTGACTTTTTATCTCTCTCTCGCTTTTTTTTTTTTTTTTTAGACAGTCTTGCTCTGTCACCTAGGCTGGAGTGCAGTGGCGCGACCTTGGCTCACTGCAAGCTCCACCTCCCGGGTTCACGCCATTCTCCTGCCTCAGAATCCCGAGTAGCTGGGACTACAGGCTCCTGCCACCACGCCCGGCTAATTTTTTGTATTTTTAGTGGAGACAGGGTTTCACCATGTTAGTCAGGATGGTCTTGATCTCCTGACCTCGTGATCCGCCGGCCTCAGCCTCCCAAAGTGCTGGGATTACAGGCATGAGCCACCGCACCCGGCCTCTCTCTCTTTTTTTTGAGACAGAATTTTGCTATTGTTGCCCAGGCTGGAGTGCAGTGGCGGGATCTCAGCTCACTGCAACCTCCGCCTCTCGGGTTCAAGTGATTCTCCTGCCTCAGCCTCCTGAGTAGCTGGTGTTACAGGCGCCCACCACCACGTCGGGCAAATTTTTTACATTTTTAGTAGAGATGGGGTTTCACCGTGTTGGTCAGACTGGTCTCAAACTCCTGACCTCCTGATCTGCCCACGTTGGCCTCCCAAGGTGCTGGGATTACAGGCATGAGCCACTGTGCCCAGCCAGATTCACGTTCTTACGTGGCACACTATTTGCTATGACAGCAAGACCAAAAGGCTTAAGTACCAAAAATGTACATTAACTACAAACAGTTTCATATAAACAAAACAATGTGACCATCTATATGTGACAGTAACCCATATGCCCAAACTATTTTTAACTGAAATTGAAATCAGTTTCTACATAACAAATGTTATCACTGTATTCTGAGATGATACGTTATTTGTATATAAATACTATAAATAACAATGTATTTAAATTATTCAACAAATAATTCTTTGGAATCTACAAAATGCTGGTTTCTGTTATAGACACTGAATGTAGAATTGATAGAAAATATAGTATCTGTTCTTAGAGAGTAGTAGATTTAAAAAATGCAAAACATATTGGGTAGAGGTTGTACTGCTAAAAACAGGCAGAGACTGAGTTGCTAATACAAAAATCAGAAAACCCAGTGTGATTATTTTTAATAGTTGTTGATATTTTAATACAGGTCTCTTTTCTTGTGGAAATGTATTACAATATGGAATTTCTGGGTGTTTGGTATCTGAATGTTTATAACAGGTATAACCAGTTTTCCGAAGACATTTTATCAGTTTGCTTGTCCACATCAGTGACTCATAAGATATTACGTGTAACCATGTCCTCTCCAACAATGTCTAGTATCAGTCTTTGTAAAGTTTGTCAAGTAACTGGGTGTAGGTGTTGCAGGTGATTATTATATTATTAAAGAATAGTAGAATACCTAGCTTTAAAAAAGCAGGGCATGCAGAGGCACATGTCTAGCGTGTGTCCTGATCCCAGAATTAAAACTAATCTAATTTGTGCTTCCGCTGTTCAATAAAAAATTTCCTTGGCTGGGCGCGGTGGCTCAAGCCTGTAATCCCAGCACTTTGGGAGGCTGAGGCAGGTGGATCATGAGGTCAGTAAGTGGAGACCATCCTGGCTAACACGGTGAAACCCCATCTCTACAAAAATACAAAGAATTAGCCGGGCGCAGTGGCAGGCGCCTGTGGTCCCAGCTACTCGGGAGACTGAGGCAGGAGAATGGCGTGAACCCTGGAGGCGGATCTTGCAGTGAGCCGAGATCGTGCCACTGCACTCCAGCCTGGGCGACAGAGGGAGACTCCATCTCAAAAAAAAAAAAAAAAAATTTCCTTAAGAATCCAGAGGTCAGGCCAGGCACGGTGGCTCACGCTGTAATCTCAGCACTTTGGGAGGCTGAGGTGGGTGGATCATGATGTCAGGAGTTTGAGACCAGCCTGGCCAACATGGTGAAACCCCATCTCTACTAGAAATACAAAAAATTAGCTGGACGTGGTGTTGCGCGCCTGTAGTCCCAGCTGCTTGGGAGACTGAGGCAGAAGGATTGCTTGAACCCGGGAAGCAGAGGTTGCAGTGAGCTGAGATCAAGCCACTGCACTCCAGCCTGTGCGACAGAGTGAGACTCCATCTCAAAAAAAAAAAAAAAAAAAAAAGAGAATCCAGAGGTCAGACATTCCTTTGAGCAAGGACTCCAATATGGTTTCTTACCTACTCACTCCAACAAAATTGCACTTCTCAAAACACAAACGATATTCTTATTGTTAAATTATGAATTGCAGCATAATTCCTCAGCCTTTGTCTTAATTTATGTATCAGCAGCATTTGACACAGGTGATCTCTCCCTCCTTTTTGCAAAACTTTCTTTGACAGAATTCCAGAACACTTAACCCACTTTCCCCCTGACATTTTTTATAATTACCCCTGGTCCTTTTTTACTGTTTTTTTCTCACCTTTACTACTTTTTAAATGTTAGAGAACTTGGCTCAGGACCTGGACTTACCTTTCTTTGTTTTGCTTTCTTACTAATTTTTGTGTCATTAATTTCCTGATATTTCATATTACACGTCACACTGGACTACACCCAACACCGCCTGACTTCTTCACTTGGGTGTCAGTCAGGAATCTCAAAATGAAGGCCCACATGGAGCCACCGATACTCCCCAAACTTGCTCTTCCCCTTTTTGTTTAATGGCAACTCCCATTTTATAGTTTCTCAGCTCAATATTCTTGGTGTCCCCTTTTAGTTCTCTCTGTATCTGTCTGGTTCTCATTCTCTCTCTCTCTCTCTCTCTCTCTCTCTGTCTCTATCTCTCCTTCACACACACACACACACACACA